GCACTAAACATTGACTCAATGAATGTAAACTTTGGGCCGGGCTCTCTGCTCAGAGCTGTCATGGATACCCAGTTGAATGAGACATTATCTCTGCTCTCCAGCAGTTTACCAGTAAGTGTGTACAATCAGTCACTAATGCAATGTGCAGTGTCAAATGTGCTCAAAATGGAGGCACAAAACAATATACAATTACAGAGATGGAGAGATCAGCAAAAGCTTCATAGAGATGTGGCATTTGATCTGGCCTTAAAGGATGAGTAGGACTTAGGTAGGTGCCCCTGATAAATGAGTCATGCCAGGCAGAGGGGAAAGTCAGGGCAAAGATGTAGACGGCAGATCATTTGAGAAATAGTGAACTGGCTGGAGGTGAGTGTGCTGTGGGATATGTAAAGAAAGAGAAAGCTGGTAACTTTTTCTTTGGTGTCTGGCCATGGACAGCCTTGATTGTCCTGCTAAAAAGCCTAGGCTTACCTCAGAGGCAAAACTAAGTCACTGTAGCTGATGCACGAGGCTGGTGGGCTCAAACAGCCCACCCTGGCTCGCTCCAAGGGGAGAGGCAGGAATAATGCTGCCAAGCCCGAGCGGCTGGCAGTCAAGATGGCAAAGTCAAGATGGTACATGCCTGGGGCCCTGGTTTTTACTAGTGCAACTGGTACTGTGAAGCATGCCAACACAGAGGAGGGGCTGGCTGGTCAGCTCAGTTGGTTAGAGCACAGCCTTATAGCACAAAGGTTAAGGGTTCAGATCCCTATACCTGCCAGCCCCCCCCAAAATAAATTAAAAAGTCAGTGGAATACAAGCAGGAAAAGCTTTATTTTCTTCCACAGCCTTTGAACCAGCTCTGTAGTATTCCTGTTCCTTGCCCATTGACAGTACCTCAGATATTCTTAGTGTACCAAGTACCACCATAAAACTCTCACTCAATTTCCACCACCAGCCACTTGAGAACCAGTGGGGAGGCTCCTGGGCTTCCTATGGGACTACACTACTTGCAGTGAGCTGCCATCTACTGGGAATGAAACCAGAGGTAGCAGTTGCACTAAACATTGACTCAATGAATGTAAACTTTGGGCCGGGCTCTCTGCTCAGAGCTGTCATGGATACCCAGTTGAATGAGACATTATCTCTGCTCTCCAGCAGTTTACCAGTAAGTGTGTACAACCAGTCACTAATGCAATGTGCAGTGTCAAATGTGCTCAAAATGGAGGCACAAAACAATATACAATTACAGAGATGGAGAGATCAGCAAAAGCTTCATAGAGATGTGGCATTTGATCTGGCCTTAAAGGATGAGTAGGACTTAGGTAGGTGCCCCTGATAAATGAGTCATGCCAGGCAGAGGGGAAAGTCAGGGCAAAGATGTAGATGGCAGATCATTTGAGAAATAGTGAACTGGCTGGAGGTGAGTGTGCTGTGGGATATGTAAAGAAAGAGAAAGCTGGTAACTTTTTCTTTGGTGTCTGGCCATGGACAGCCTTGATTGTCCTGCTAAAAAGCCTAGGCTTACCTCAGAGGCAAAACTAAGTCACTGTAGCTGATGCACGAGGCTGGTGGGCTCAAACAGCCCACCCTGGCTCGCTCCAAGGGGAGAGGCAGGAATAATGCTGCCAAGCCCGAGCGGCTGGCAATCAAGATGGCAAAGTCAAGATGGTACATGCCTGGGGCCCTGGTTTTTACTAGTGCAACTGGTACTGTGAAGCATGCCAACACAGAGGAGGGGCTGGCTGGTCAGCTCAGTTGGTTAGAGCACAGCCTTATAGCACAAAGGTTAAGGGTTCAGATCCCTATACCTGCCAGCCCCCCCCCAAAATAAATTAAAAAGTCAGTGGAATACAAGCAGGAAAAGCTTTATTTTCTTCCACAGCCTTTGAACCAGCTCTGTAGTATTCCTGTTCCTTGCCCATTGACAGTACCTCAGATATTCTTAGTGTACCAAGTACCACCATAAAACGCTCACTCAATTTCCACCACCAGCCACTTGAGAAAGGTAGGGGACCTAACTCTTCTGGTGAGTTGTACATGTGGAGGATAGAGGCTAATGGTGGGGATCTATCACCTTAAAGAATATGGGTGTGGGGAAGAGAAGTTAGGTAAAGGGAGGGGCTTTTCCATAGAGTCTGGTCTTTCTTTTCAGAACAGGAATCTTGTAGAAAAATTTAGATCAACAATAGTAGATATTGTACTGAAAAAAATTGAGAGCTCACCATGTGCTTGACTTAGTCCTATGTATCTTTCATAGATCATCTCATTTAATTTTCTCAACAAGCCCCTGTGAATAGGTACTATTATTATTCCCAATTTACAAAGTAGAAAACTACAGTCTACTTGCCCGGGGTCACTCAGTGAGTAGATGGAATTTTAATCAAGGCCGGCTGGGCTGACTCCAAGCCTGTGTTTGTAACCATGGCAACCTTCCTAAACAGGTTTCCTCCAATCTGACTCACATGAAGTCTCTGCAGTTACAAAACCCTGTTCTTGCACGGTCTTTGCAGCTTACACAAAGCTTCCCATTATCAGCACTGTTAGGAAAATGGGGTGCTTTATCCCCATTTGACTGATTGAGATATAACCTAGAATAAAAGTGTTAAACCAAAACTAGAAACCAGAACTTTCTGATTCCTTGTACGGGGCATTGGATGATCCAGGCCAGGCTGTGGAATAGCATCTCCTCAAAATCCCAAGATGAAGTTTTAATTACATTCTCACTCTGTAAGCAGAAAATAAATGAATACTTTTGCCCAGTCACTGTGCTAACAGGTTTACGCACACTAGCTCATATAATCCTCACAAGAATCCTGTGGTGCAGAGAGTATAATTATCCCATTTTATCGATTAGGTGATTGAGGCTCAGCAAGGCTTAAGCCCATCACAAATGGCAAACCCAGGTATGCCTTCTGCCACAGCACATGCTCATCCACTGGGCTTTACACATCTTTTATCCTTTTACTCTTATAGCTGGGTATTAATATCTGATTTTTACAAATAAGGAAGGAAATGAGAGCCAGAGAGGTCAAGCAACTTCCCCCCAGACACAAGACTACAACCGGCAGACCCAGGAACCGGGCTCCAGCTAAGTCCTGAATCCATCAGCTGTTCACCCTAGAGCCATGGGCCTGGACTCTAAGAGAACCCTGGAGAAAACAATGCTGAATCCCTCTGTTTTGTTGTCTATGTAAGTCAGGCTGGGTAGTATGGGATTGTGGGATAAGAAAGCATTAGTCAGCACTGACTGGACTATCCTCCCACAGAGCTGGTCCCACTTGCTGGTGAAACGTGCTGAGTGCAGAAGGGTTTCCCTCTTCAGGGATGCGGGCCCTGGACGCTTGTCACGGCTGCGTGGAGCCGAGCCTTAGGGAAGGTGGAACCTCGCTCCACTTGGGGCTGAGCATCCACTCAGTTGCTCATTCTGGGGTGTGAGGGGAACCGGGTCAAGAAGAAGATGGCCCTTGAGGCCCTGAATGTCATGGGGCCAGCCTGTGAAGAGAGGCCAACTGGCTCCTGCAGAGCTTCTCTTGGGCTCAGGGAGGTTCTTTAACAGCAATTCTGGGAGACATCATGCCTGATGGACGTGCAGACGTGTGCTAGGCCTCCATCAGCCTATACTTTGCTGCAGGCAGGAGCTATGGTTCTGTGAGGAAGGGATCAAAGATTGGGATGAGACTCGGGTTACTACCAGTGGTGGGGAACAGTGAGTTTTTCTGGAAGGCCTATGTGACTTGTAAGGCAGCTGAACGTGTCCAGTGAATTGTGCTGGCAGAGGGAAGGGGTAAGAGAGCCTGCAATTACATTTTAGTCCCCTACCCCCAACCATTTTCATCACGGTTCATAATAGATGCAGGTACACGAGAAAAGGAAAAAAACAGCAGAATTAAGATTTTTATTCCATTGCTTAGTGTCCGAGGCTAAGGAATCCCTAAACTTTCCATAGTAATAAAGCAATTTTAGTTTTTCCATAACTGTATGGTCACTGATGGATGCACTTAGACCAGGGTTTCTGAGGGGGACAAGCTGTCGATTGGGATTGAGGCACCTGACATCCATAATGCCCTTTAGGGAATTGTTCTAACTGTGCAGAACCCAATTCAACACACACATTACTGCCAGGCCCTGGTCAGGCTCTGGTGGTACAGAGAAGGTAAGCAGGACTGCCACGTGCAGTTGTCCAGGTTGTGCATCTACAGCCCTAGGGGCACCATGTAAACCACAGCATAGATTTGTATGTCTGTTAAGCCCTATTCCTGCAGATGGCAGGAAGGTGACTTGAAGTGGATGAGCCATATAGGCTGGTTGTGGTGTCAGGTAGACACAGTGCCTACCGCCAAGGAGCTCACTGTCCAGCAAACAGTAGGGCACCAAGACTACCAGGTAAACCTGGAGATCCTAGGCTAGAAGCCAGGAGATGTGTTCTCTCTTTTCCTTTTAAGTACAGGCCATTAGGGTTAGATAATGATGGAAAAATCAAGTGGGTGTGCTCTGGTCTGTTTGCTGTTGTTGCAGGCTAGTGATAGAAAAATGTATTCCTTTGTTACCATCTCCCACCAACTCCCAGGACCCAAGAATCTTCCCTTATCAAGAGTCATCAAAAGAACTTCTTTGACCTTATACCCAATTGATCTCATTCAGAACAAGGCTCTTTCAGCTCATTATTCTTACAAGGAAAAAAAAAATGAAACAAACAAACAAAAAATCACCCTGGGCACAGCTGGCTGTGGGGAAGTCCAGCTTAGATGCAGGCATCCAGCCCTGGGATTTATTGTCTCAGGACCCCAGCCCTCTCCCCAACCCCAGCCTCCAACACCCGTCCTCCCACAACTGAGATAACTTCTCTGCAGCACAATAACACACCCCATGCTCCAAGCAGTGCCAATATCATATACATTGTTTTATTATTTGTTTGTATGCTTTCCATAGCAAGTGAAAAAATAATTTAAACCAATTATATGTACAGAGGCTTGGTTAGTTTTCCCAAGAACTTCCAGTAAGTCCCCCAACCCCCTAGATAGCAAAGAAGGGTTACCTTTAACATCGGTACAAAACTCCACCTATAAAAAGTCTCATGTGTAAAAGGTTTCCTTTATTATAAGCATCACATTTTGGGAGCAGGAAGGGGGTCAGGGTGGGAGGTGGAGGGAAATGTGCAGGGTGGGGGCCATACACAGCTGTCCAGGGGTAGTCCTGGATGGGGAGGCTGTGGCTGGTGGGGCTCAGGTGATCTGCAGTGGGGTCTCCAACATCTCCATGAGGAAGGTGTCAATGGGCGTGTCCCCGATGAGCTTGAAAAAGAAGAGGTGCTCCAGGCATTTCAAGCCGATGGAGCGCAGAGCTGGGAGGCGCAGCAGCAGCTTGGCAAACCTGTGGGGAAGCCGAGGAGCATCAGGGACCAGGCAAGGACACGCCCAGACCCCTGCTGGTGGGCAGCAGGTCATTGGGTCTGCCCGACTAACCTGTGATGGAAGAGCCTAGAAGGGGAGCCCAGGGAGCTGGAGAACCTCTGATTCTAGGGAGCTTCAGAAACAGGCTAGAGGGCTGGGGAACTGTAAAGGCAAACTCTGGATCACATGAGCTCTTGAGAATCTTGAATTCTGTGGCCATGTCCCCAAATTGCCCTCAGCCCCTCATTTGTGGGGGTGGTGGAGAGAAAGAGCTAGGCGCTGATGTATGCAGTCTCACGTCGCCAGCCCTCTGCAGCCAGTGCTCCTTACGTCCTCCACATTTTGAAGGGTTTCTGAAGCACTTAGGACAGAGCGTGACGCGTCACATGCACTGAACCCACCTAACTAGTACCATGTGGTGAACACGTCTGAGCACCTGCTGTGTGCCAGGCATTAGGCTAGGTTCTGGGTTCCGGGATGTGAAAAGGGGCAAGAGATGACATGTGTGAAAATGGGCAAGAGCTGACATAGTCCCTGCGCTCAGGAGCCTGCGCTTCTCCTCACATCACAGCCACTTTAGGCAATGTCACCTCAATTTGCCTCAGATACCGAATTTTTGCTGCCAATTTGTAACCAAATGTTGCCAATTTTTATGATCAGCTTCTTAGTCAGCACTTACCCCTTTAAGTTAGGAAAAGAGGGAGATAGAAAACAGTAGTCTTTGCCCCTAAGGAGCCCATGGTCTATTTGGACAGACAATACACATACACTGCACACATGCTGACTCACGCACACTCACGCACCTCACGCACACTCACGCTTGCCTGAGGCACGCGTGTGCACATTCCTCCTCACCACTCACACACACGTGCACACACTCACACATGTTCTCTCATACCCTCACACACTTTAACACTACACGTGCATACACACACTCACATGCTCACACTTTTGCATGACCTCACAACATGAGCATGCACACACCCTCACACACTCTCATACATGCACACCCTCATGCAATACTTCACAGTACACACATACCTCATGCATATGCTTTCACACATACACACGTGCGCACACTCGTGCACACTCACTCACACACACACTCTCATGTGACCTTACATAAGCATACACACACCCACACCCTCACATGCTCTCACACATACACACCTTCCCACACACCTTCCGATAACTGAGGACAATCACTGTAACGTTCACAAAAGGCAGAGACCAGCGTGTGAAAGAATTCTTTGCACATCTGCATATCTCTTTAGGGTCCTCATGCTGTGACATCTTTTACTCTGCCTGTGTGACCCTCTGCGTCTCTCAAACTCCTTCTTTTCCAATGCAGTGCTGGCTCATTTTTAATGTTATTAATGCCACTAGAAATTAAGTCACTCTACTTACAACTTCCAACAAAAAGCACAAGGACTAAAATCACTTTAGTCACTGAGGTCTTAAATCAGAGCTATCTGGTTCAAGTTGGATCTTTACTGAGAATCCCAACATTATTTTATTAAAAAATTTCAGATTGGAATTTCAATGCTCCTTCAAAATGTGTATATTTCTATATTCATGCCACATGACATTTTAAGGAAATGTACCAATACAAGGAGAATAAAGTGGCATCACCAAAAAAAGTAGAAATCACTTCTCTACGTAGAAAAATTAAAGGTCTATGCCAATGGCAACACAAAGCTTCAAAAGCTTTCGATGACAGGAGGAAGTCGAACTCAGCCCCCGTGACGTGCACTTCTGAAGAATCTCCACGGGGTGGCAGCAGCTACCACTGAGAAAACCGCCTTGACCTGGCCATGCCAGGATCCCTTTCAATCAGTTTCTGCAAATCAGAGGCTACCAGCCTTCAGCACAGTTACCTGCCTGGTTGAGCCAAGTGACATCCCTTATGTAACTGATGTAAGCCTCCCACGAACACTTGGACAGAACGGTCACCCTTTGTCCAGGCTGTGCGTGACAAACCCAGAAGATGCACAGGGGACCCAGCCTCTGCCTAGTCCAGCAACAAGTGTTGGCATCTCTCCCCAGTATCTGGAGGCTGTCCAGGCCCATTGTAGCCCTCTTCCAGGAAAAGTGTCAAATTCCAAAGTTTTTAAAGTGATATTCATTAGGAACAACCTAGATGTCAACCACAGGGCAATGACTAAATACATTAGGATACATCCACACTGCAAAATATTACAAAACCATTGAAAATGATAATTTTGTATTTTTCAATAATCTGATAAAATTCCTACAATGGCTAAGGGAGGAAAATAATACACAAAACTGTACCATATTTTATCTGTAAATACCTAGTTCTATGTATATCTAGATACACTAGGATACTGGAAAGAAATATACCAAAATATTTACAGTCAATTTTTATTACTTGATTTACTTTTCAAAAATACGTTTCTTATTTCCTACCAAAGAATGCATTGCCTTTATACTTAGGAAAAAAGAGAGTTGGTGTTTTTTGTTCATTTGTTTTTTAAAAGATAAACAGCAGGACCTAGAGCCAATTCCAGGGAAAAGGTGCTTATGAAACTTGTAACTCCTAATATACTGCGTGCAATATGCATTCAAAAAGT